CTGTCGGAGGTGGGAGTTGAAGACCGTCTTGACAGGCTCTTCTGCCAGGCGTTCCCAGCAGACCCTCACTATGCGTTTGGGTCTGCCAGGTCTATGCGGCATCTTCCCCTGCCATCTGATCCAACTCACCACCAGGTCGTGATCAGTTGACAGCTCCACTCCTCTCTTCACCCAGATGTCCATAACATACGGCCGCAGGTCAGATGATACGACTACAAAGTCTATCATCGACCTGTGACCTAGGCTGCCATGGTACCAAGTGTACCGATGGGCATCCTTATGTTCGAACATGGTGTTCGTTATGGCCAAACTGCGGCTTGCACAGAAGTCCAATAACAAAACACCACTCGAGGTCCGATCAGGCGGGCCGTTCCTCCCAATCACACCCCTCCAGGTCAAGCTGTCATTGCCCACATGAGTACTGAAGTCCCCCAGAAGCACAATGGAGTCCCCTGATGGAGCACTATCTAGCACTCGTCCCAGGGACTCCAAAAAGGGTGGATACTCTGAACTGATATTTGGCCCATAAGCACAGACAACAGTCAGGACCCGTTCCCTGACCCAAAGGCGCAGGGAAGCTACCCTCTTGTCCCCCGGGGTAAACCCCAACACACAGGTAGAGAGTCTCGGGACTAACAAAAAGCCAACCCCAGCCCTCCGCCTTACACCCGGAGCAACTCCAGCAAAGGAGAGTGTCCAACTCCTCTCAAGGACTTGGGTTCCAGAGCCAATGCTATGTGTTGAGGTGAGTCCGACTATATCTAGCCGGTACCGCCCAACCTCTGCCACAAGCTCCTGCTCCTTCACCGCCAGCGAGGTGACGTTCCATGTCCCAAAAACCAGTTTCCTTGTCCGGGGATCGGACCGCCAAGGCTCCCGCCTCGGTCTGCCACTCGATCCACACTGCACCGGACCCTTCATGTTCCTCCTACGGGTGGTGGGTCCACAGTTGGATGAGCCCATGTATCCGGTTCGGGCTGGGTCTGGCCGGCCCCATGGACGAAAGCCCGGCCACCAGGCGCTCGCTCACGGGCCCCAACCCCAGGCCTGGCTCCAGGGTGGGACCCCGGTAACCCTCCAGGCCGGGTACTCCAACTCTTTGATTGTATATCCATGAAAGATCTTTTGAACCGTTCTTTGTCTCACCCTTCACCAAAGACCAATTTGTCATGGGAGATCCTACCAGGGGCACAAAGTGCCCCAGACAACAGCTCCTAGGGTCATTAGGGCACTCAAACTCCTCCACCAGGATAAGGTGACGGTTCAAGGAGCTTTTCTATTATCATCCATTTTATTTAGATTTTTACCAGTTATGGGCTACAGATTTTGCCCTTCTGTTTTGATTACATTTGTACTCCAAGTGTTGATTTTCCCTTACATATATTATAGGGTTATGTTAATTTTGTTCTTTTTGCAACACTTTTCCAGTACACATAGTTTACCACATCCATTTCTCTCACCTGAACTCCGTGCACATAATTTGCTTCACATAGCACATATAGGCACATATGGTGCTAGGTTTTTTTAATTTTATAATTTTGCACCAGACACAATCTATGTGTGTCTACATTGAAGTGCCCTGCGTCTGCTTTTCTCCTCCCCTGGGTTCGCCTGTGATCGTCGCTTCCTGGGAGGATCTCTCTACACCGTCACCTGATTCGGCTGCCTGAGGGTCTGGTTCGTGTGGGTCTGGACGTCCTGTGGTTCCTGCCATGCTTGCTGGAGCTCTGCGGTTCGCCTGGGGCCTGGACTGGTCCCTGATCATCTGCTTACTTTCCTGAGGATCCTAATAAGCGGATTAATTTTTTTTTAAGTTTGATGAGCTACATTGACTATTCTCTGGTGTGGGGGTTTGCTTTCCTCACTCCAGGGGTCTTTGCCTGGAAACTAACCTGTGCTTCCTTGACTGAGTCCCTAGGGCCTCTGACTTGTTCCAACGACCTGTGGTTTCTGCCAAGACCCCGTGCCCTTGGAAAGGGGGGTTCTGTACTGTCCAGCAATAGTCAGTTTAGGTACAGCCTGACCTTCCAACATCTATTCAACATCTGGTCAGATAGGAGACACAACACTGCATGTGTTGCCTTTAAATGAGCCTGCCTTCATACCACCTGGGACTCACAGACTCTGCAAGTCTGAAAGATAAACAATAACTTTCTTTCCCAAGTTCCCATCTGTCTGCCTCCACAGAAGGAAAAACTCCAGCTCCAATCAGTTGCTAAAATCCAGAATGAATTTCTAAATCAATATGAACTTCTTCCATGACTCATAATCTAGATCAGGGGTCGGCAACCTGTTCCCATCAAAGAGCCATTATTACCCGTTTCCCACAGAAAAGAAAACACTGGGAGCCACAGTAGCCGTGGTGTTGTGGGCGGGGCCTACCCTCAGACAGCAGAGCGCTGCTCACAACAGGTGACAGCAGCCAGTACCGGTCACTCGTGTACGTCAAAGTTATCTTTCATAAGACGATAATCAATAAAACGATTTATATAAAGTGGATCCAGAAGTTGTAGCCCGTCTCTGCTACAATATTTAGATATGTTTCACCCTGTTGGTGGTTTTACTGAGCAGGTGCCACTTTTGTCATACGTTTCTTTTTAAAACATGTTTAGACTGTTCAGAATACAAATCCAGGCTCTGTCAAGTTTGATTGTTGTAATTAAACTTTGTAGGTGGGGAAGGTCAGAAAAGGATCCGATCAATTTGCTTTTCCCTCATTTACAGTGACGGAGATAACGGCGCACTGGCTCTGGTGTTAATCAAGTTAAATTGTATCTATTTGCAACAATTTTCACAAGAAAACAGAACAGTTAAAAGCAGGGCTTGTGCTGACCGGACAGTTCCCGTATTTGACCGTTTATTTTGACGGAGAAAGAATAGAAAGAATTACCCCGACGCATGCAGACGAACTGACACTTTATTCTACGCACATCGCAGATGTAGCTAAATCACTCAAGAAAGGATTCCCATCTGAACATCTGAGCTGGACACTGCTCAGCGCAGCTCGCTGTCAGCGTGTACATAAGGTACACAGCTAGCTGAAGATGTGGAGAGGGGCTTGGAGCGAGTCGCAGAACCAGAGCGCATGCAGGAAGATTCCTCCGACTGAAGCGAGTGTTTTCCAAACCCGGTCGCTCAGAGAGACTTGTCACTTAGAAAATGTTCCCTGATTATAAAACTTTGGCTGAATAGCGCTTGTTCCTGTCTCCAATGTGGCGTCTGAGGAGAGTCCCAGAATCTCACATCCTCGTCAGCTCAGGAAGCGCCTATGATTACGCACAAGCGTGACGCGTCAACCCGGTCTCACAGTAAGACTGGGTTGGACCTGTTCAGGTTTATGCAAACAATCTTTACATTTAGAATTAGCTTACAGATGTAAAATTAATGCAGTAAAATATAAAGCATTTTATTTAAATATCCATTCATTATTTTACAAGCACAGAGAGCCGCATCAGATGGATGGAAGAGCCGCATGCGGCTCCAGAGCCACGGGTTGCCGACCCCTGAGCTAGATAATCATTAAATAAACATTTGTTTATCACTATTTATAATAATTATAGTATAAAGAAATGCTTTATTAATTTGTGCACACTGAATGGATGTTATGTTATGTTTGTCTACTAGAACCTGCCATGTGTTCAGCGTGTTTAGACGACAGGTCCATAACATCTGCGCTCACACAATAACAAGTACGGTTAAGTTAAACTCCAACACATAACTTGCCCTTTTAACCAGTTAGAACATCCGGTATCAAAGAAGGCGTGTTTCTGAGTTGTCTTGGTAACATTTCCAAGCTGTCAGCCTTTGACTGGCTGTGCAAGTCATAACATCAAAACCTTAAAACTGGATAATGCCGAGTGATCCGTTAGTTCTAGAGAAAGCTTCAGACCGGCCACCTCTCGCAACCTCTTTAACCATCAAAGATTTTGACACGTCGTCGAAACCTTTTTGCACCTGCAAAGCTGAGACAGCTAAACAGCTCCAGCAGAACAAAGCTGATATTATTATTAGACTCCTTAAGAGTCCTCCAGATGCACGGTTCCATCCAGCTGTTGTGACCCGAGACATCGCTGGACTGAAGAGTCGGTACCACGGTATTCTACAGCCCTCCGGTGCCAGCGGTCAGCCGACCCCTGTGACTTTCGGATCCACCAAGAGGGTCTCTCAAAACGGGTGAAGAAGACATGACAGATTGAGTCTGATGTGTTAATGAAAGATAACTTCAGAGTTTAGCGCAAACCAATTTCTTTTACATCCGGAGACGCCGCTCTCCGAGATCCGGAAGTTCTGACCTACATCACGTTGACAAATAGCCTTCATCACATTTAGCTCCATCCACTCACAGAAAATGCTTAGTTCACTTATCATGTTACAATTGTAATAGAGTAATTTCTTACTTTTATAAACCGGACTCTATTCTGATTCAAAACGAAGTGTTTATAATTACTTAATAAAGCAAAAATCCTAGAATCTTCTGATATTTACAATAAAGATCAAGCAAGGTAATATTTTATATTTATATAGAATATCACATCTTCCTGGTCATACGTACAAATAAATAATCCATTTGTCACCGCTACATCAGCTTTCCAAGCATCTCAGAAAGGGGAGTGTCTGAGGACTCTGGTAAACACCTGGACACGTTTCTCAGATCTGGTTGGTCAAACTTTATAAACAGCCCTTTCATTAAAAGCAAACTCACTTTCTATTTTCCCACAGCTCATGCTGAATGACCATCCTATGGAGAACCAACCAGATGTTTCAGTGGAAAAATGTCAGCAGCACATAAGCCATCCTATTTAGATCATCTAGTATTTTCTCTGTCCACCACCCACTCATCAGACATGAAACACCACCAGAAGCCACCTGGGAAGCATCTTCTGACCAGTCGTGCGTTTGCTGAGGGTGTCTACGACCTTCAGACACATAAGAAGTCCACCCTGTCATAAATTGGAGGTTGTTGTAGGACCCAAGTGCAGGAAATCCAGGAGGCAGCCAGGTAGGTTATAACTCTGTGTTTATTATAGACTGTGTGGAACAGGAGCAGGCAACAAGCACAAACACAAGGAACCGACAAGAAACACTGAACTGGGCTGGGTTTAACTACACCGAGGAGGAAGTGACAAAGGGAGCAGGTGCACTGATTACTGATGAGGAGGACCAACAGAGGATGGGAGGTGATGCAGAGACACAAGAGGACTGAGTCTGATAAAACTTTAATATCCCGAAACATCAGACAGAAGAACCAAACCCTGAAAGAATACACTAATGGATGACTGAGTTAACAGAACCCACAAATAGAACACATAAGTACAACTAAACTAGACCACCCTAAACCATGAACAGGGAATGACTGAAGAACACACACAACCCTAACCCTAGACAAAACGAGACATGAGACAAGGAAACACAGGGCATGGGAGGCGGGACCAAACAACCAAAAACAACCCCTCAGGGCGGGTGAGGCGCGCAGGAGCGGCAGCTAAAACAATGGGAACTAGACAAATCAAAAGGAAAACAAAGTCCACAGAAGCTGGTGATAGGAGGCAGGAACCAGCAGAGTTCTGGATGGCTGTTGACGAAAAGAGCAGGGACTAGAACCTGGACTCTGGCAGAGCCGGAGCCACAGGACGGGCCGGACCTCGGGAGGAGCCTCAGACATGCTGAACCATCAGAAGAGGTGGAGCCACGGGAGGGGGCCGGACCTCAGCGGAGCCTCAGACATGCTGAAACATCAGAGGAGGTGGAGCCACAGGAGGAAGCCAGGCCTCGGGTGGAGCCTCCAGGACAGGCTGGACGACTGGAGGAGGCGGAGTCCCTTGGATGTGTGTGTGTGTGTGTGTGTGTGTGTGTGTGTGTGTGTGTGTAGTAAGACTCTGGTAGGGGGTGACTTACTCTAATAGGAGAAGGAAACAGGAAGTAATGTCATGTTAGAGGCAGGGAGGGATGTTTCTCAATGTCAAGGAGCCTCGCCTGGATGTCTTGGCCCCACCCCAGTTGCCTAGGAGATACGTCATCAGGAACCGCCAAGACGTGTTCCAATCGGTTCCAGTGTTCATGTTCTACCGAGGCGTCTGTTCTCCATTTGTTAGCCGTTTAGCTAGCTGAGCAAGGATACACAGGAGGTGTCTTGTAGCCTAGCCTTGGTCAAAAATTACCCACAATACACCGCAGTATTTTCAAAAGGACGATGGATCAGAAGCCGGCAGCTACAGCGGGGGCAATTTTCAAGTTTAAAAGTAAGTCAAATAATTTAAAATGTTTTTGTAGATCCAGAGAAGTTATCTACGGTTGGTTAGTAGCTTAGTAGTTGCAGCTTCAGTGGCTAGCGGGTAGTAACTCACTTATATTTTTTATTTAATAAACATAAACACACTTTAACAAGAAAAAGCCTCGTTATATATTCATATTGAAACTAATACATATAAAATATAACGTTATCTCCCGTGTCACATGACGTTACGTGACCGTCGTGGAAGCCGCGGTCACGTGATGCAACTCTTTTCCGTTTACTCGTTTTCTTTGTCCAAGGAAGGGCCGTGTCCTCTTAAGCAAGGCGCCTGGCCTTGCGAGGCCAGGCGCCTTGACATGGAGAAACACCCCAGGGTTTTGGCCAGAAGGTGGAGTTAATTACTGCAGGTTAACCGTCTAATTAAGAGCACATGAAGGTCACATGATACTGCAGCACTTACACGGCTGCTTCTCCTTCACTTCCACTGTTCCTCCCTCTTTGTCTCCCACTTTTTCCTGGGGAGGTTTGGTGGAAATGGGCGGTGAAGAGGACAGAGCAGTTGAATCAACCTTTCTATTGACATCATCAATGAGTACAAGCTCTGCCTTCACCATCCTCTGCAGCCCCAGAACTTTCTTGGTCTCATCCTCATCCTCCACATTCTGGTATCCCATGAACACCATGGTGACTGGGTTGTCGGCACTGGGCTCTGCCACGCTCAGCTCAGCTCCACCGTTTGCCTCCATTCCAGTGATCTCTGTGGCCACAAGTGGACCCAAAAAATGGCCCTGCGGAGAGTCCAGAGTGGGACCCTGTGGGACGTCTAGAACAGGGCCCTTTGGACAGTCTGGAGTGCTGCCCTGTGGGGGATCTGATGAGGACCTTGGCATCAGGTCCAGCATGGTGCCAATCACAGTTCCCAGTGATGGGCCTGGCTCTTCCTGGACTTTGGCTTTTGGCAGGGTGGTCTGTGACATCATCGATGCCTCATCAGCTTTGTAGAGAAGCTCATCCACCTGTGACGAGCTGAGCATCTGGACAGCATCTTCACCATTCACCTCGTGGACCACTGAGAGAGAGAAAATGAACTGACCTGTGTTGTTTACTGTGTGCAGGTCCTTGAGAGTCCTGACTTGGTGCTTTATAAATAAACTGAATTGAATCCAGTGTCACGAACAGTATCAGATTTTGATTTAGTGGTGTCACCTTTCTGCTCGTCTTCGTAGACTTTAACCCCAAGGTCGGCGAGATCAACAGGAAGTGTAGTGTTAGTGGACAGAATCCTGGTTTCCCCCGTCACTCTGTCCCGCTCCACCTTAATCTCCACTGAGTACATGGCTGTTGGGGGAGGGCAAAAAGAAGCACACAGAACTTGAACCTTCATATACAATCATTATTATTTAAAGACCCAATTGACTAAGAGACCGTTTCTAACTTGTTCTTGTTTAAATCAGTCACTCTAAGTTTAAATGGCTGGCTGAATCTGCAAATAGTCTTCTAACCCCTGTTTCCTGGATTAGCTGCCAACAGAAAATAGATGGGAGAACTCTCAAATTAGAAAATGACAATAACACATCATAATGTCATTTAACATTCATGGACTTCTCAATCTTGGCTTGCGATGAGGAAGGCGGTTGTTGGTTTAGCGTCCAGGAAACAGCATAGATAAAGTCAATAAGGTTAGATCTAGCATCTCTCCTTCAGCCTTATCGCCGCCTCTCCCGACTCCAACCAGGCCCATCATCCTAGATAGCTTTAGATAGATAATTAATGCTTCTCTGGTCTCTGGTCAGGTCCCTGCTTACTTTAAGAACGCTGTAATCCACCCGCTTGTTAAAAAACCGAGTCTGGACCCCTCTCTCCATAGCAGCTTCAGACCCATCTCTAAACTTCCGTTCATCTCCAAGATCTTGGAAAAGGTTGTGGCTAAACAACTCACAGCTGCTCTTGATGAACAGAACATCTATGATAGCTTCCAGTCAGGTTTTCGTAGAGCTCATTCTACTGAAACAGCTCTTCTTAGGGTCTCTAATGACCTTCTGACTCACAGTGATGCAGGGTTCTGGTTCTGGTCCTGCTGGACCTGACTGCAGCCTTTGACACTGTTGGCCATCACCTGCTACTGGAGAGGATGAGAGACTGGGTAGGCCTATCAGGATCTGCTCTGGAGTGGTTCTCCTCTTATCTCTCTGAGTGCTCCTTTTCTGTGGCCGTCTCCAAGTTTAGGTCCTCCACCACCTCTCTTACCCATGGTGTCCCACAAGGTTCTGTGCTGGGGCCTCTGCTCTTCCTCCTCTATCTGCTTCCTCTTCAGCACATCCTGAGCTCCTTCAAAGGAATCTCCTTCCATCTTTATGCAGATGACATCCAACTGTACATCTCCTTTAAGCCCCATGAGATGTCTAAGCTGCAGCTGTTACACACCTGCTTAGACTCTATCAAAACCTGGATGTTGGGAGCTTTCTTCAGCTGAATGAAGGTAAGACTGAGATCCTCATCTGTGCCCCAGACAAGCTGGTTCCCAAAGTCAGAGACTCTCTTGGTCAGCTTGCTTCCCACACCAAACCTTCTGTCAGGAATCTTGGCATGACCTTTGACCCAGTTGTATGACAGGAGTGATGTGAGCAGTAAGATGAGTTCTTATAATAATGCGAGCCACACCATTCTGGACTAACTGTACATACATGGTGGCGCAGTGGTTAGCACTGTTGCCTCGCAGCACGAAGGTTGCAGGTTCGAAACTCGGCTGCGGCCTTTCTGCGTGGAGTTGCGTGTTCTCCCCATGCATGCGTGGGTTTCCTCCGGGTACTCCGGTTTCCCCCACAGATCACAACATGCCCTATAGGTTATAAACTGTAAGTCGCTTTGGATAAAAGCGTCTGCTAAATAAATAAACATAAACATAAACTGTAACTTGTGCAAAGGTTTTTGTGGAAGGCCAAAAACAAGTGCATCCCAATAGTCCAATGGAGACGTGACCAAACCACTTACCAAGATGGCAGCATCATGCACAGAGAGAGGGACGAAGACGGTTTATACTACGGAGGTGAAAATAGGCAGCCCGTGTGATTGAACTGATATGAGTACCAAGGCTCTTAACCTGATCCACACAGGAAACAGAGACATTCTCACAGGCTAAAGAGAAGCTGCCAGCCTTCCCCAGAGCAGATTTATTACACATGAGAAGCTCCTCAGTTTTCTTAGGGTTAAGTTGTAGGAAGTTCTTGGAAAACCATGACCTGAGTTCTGCCAGACATTCAGTGAGAGCAACTGGAGGAAAAAAGAGTAGATGGAGAGTGAGAAACACAAACCTGAGTATCATCAGCATAACAATGAAATTGGGGATTGAATTTCCTAAAAATAGCCCCGAGGCAAAGCAGATACACTGTAAAAAGAAGAGGGCCAAGTGCTGAACTTTGAGGAACCCCTGTGGTGACAACAGATGGAGAGGATGTAAAAGTCTTCATTTGAATAATGTGAGTCCATCATTGCAAAACATCTTTCCACTATCCTGGAGCTGGTTGGAAAGACCCAACATCACGTACAGAATTTGGTGGATTTTGCCAAAAAGATCAAGATCTCAAACTGGCCCCAGGGAAAACCATCGTCTCATTTGATGTCACGTCACTCTTCACATGTATACCCACAGACGAAGCAATGGAAGCAGTTAGGAAACGGCTGGAACAAGATGATTCCTTAAACGAGGACAAAACTGACTCCAGAGCAGATCCCTTCTCTCCTGCACCTCTGCCTTTCTACCACCTACGC